CATTCTGATTAAACTAGAACCTGAATCAAAATGAGTTCTCTGCTCAGTCCTTCTGTGTGGGAATTGGTATTTCTATTTATTACCTGGTGATGAAATATTAACTTCTTTTCTCTAAATAAATGCCTCCTCTTAATGGCTCTTGTTTTCTGGGATCAGATTAAATTATGGGATGCAATTGAAATGGTCATTGGCTTTCTGCTGTTTGAGATGATAGCATGTCCTCTATTATATCATTCAGTGGGTGTGCAGGGGACATTAATAGTGTCCAAAGTGAAGTACACGCTCTATGCCCCAGAGACTTCTCTATATGTTAATATCAACCATCCTGGGACAAATTTGAAAAAGAAGAGATTCGGGGTGGGGCCAGGGGATCATGTTTTCTTAAAACACACAGGTGTTCTGCAAGCTACAGGGAGGTGGTCACCCCCCGCCCCCATTTCAATGGTGAGTTACCAAGTGGAGGATGCAGAGAGCTAGGAGGCAAATGATGAGAGTAGCAGAGAGAGCAGAAAAACAGGAAAAATAACTGGGCAGGAATGTTCAAGCACAGTCAAAGCTGGGGTGAAATATACAATGCAATCGCAAGGCTAGCTTGGAAAGAAAGCTAGCTCAGGGCAAGGCTAAAAAGAAGGCAATTCTGTCTCAGTGAAGGGAGGAACTCTCTGGAGAAAAAAACCAGACTGGAAGGGAAGGAGGAGAAAAAAATGGCTTTCAATTATCCACGTTATCTTTCCCTACCAATCATTACCGATGATGAATTGGTGCAATAAAAGCCAATATTCAATTTTTCCAATTTACATGGAAAGAAGTCCGTAATATATTGTTAAAGGGAAGGAACAGCAGGTTATCCAACAGTGTATATAATATGATCTCATTTTTGTAGTACACTTGTATGTGTAGCAACAGTCTGGATGGATTTATATGGAAATGTTAACAGTAGGACTACAAGTGATTTTTATTATTTCTCCCATCTGTATTTTCCCCAATTAACATGTATCATGACTATAATAAGAAAAAGTCATTATTTTTAAACTTCCTTATGAATCATTTAGCTTCAAGCAATATAGTCTGACTACCTTCTATCGGGAGGGCATGAGAAACAGTATTTTCGGAGAAGTCAGCACACACTCACAGTGGATTTTGTTGATAAACTGTCTACTTGTCCTGTCTGTTTTACAGAATTTTATGCTCTTAAGAGGGGAAAGGGCCATTAGAGTTTATCTAATGATTACATTTTAAAAGTTGTGGTGAAATTCACATAGCATAAAATGTACCATCTTAACCATTTTTAAGTGACTTTGGAACAGCCACACTGTTTTGCAACTTCCACTACACCAAGCATCTCCAGAACTCTTTCCATCTTGCAAAACTGAAACTCCATACCCATGAAACAATGAGTCTCCATTCTGCCTCCATACCCCTCACCTTCTGCCCCCTCCCTGCCGCCAGGCAACCACCATTTTCCTTTTCCTCTCTATGAATCTCCAGGGACCTCATGGAGTGGACTCATACAGGAGGTGTCCTTTTGTGACTGGCCTGTTTGACTTAACATCAGATCTTCAAGGTTCACCCACGTAGCATACTGTGGAATTTCCCTCATTTTTAAGGCCAAATAATATGTGCTATATATTGCAGTAACATGTGTAGGCCACATTTGGTTTATGCCATTTGCCTGTTAATGGAGACCTGGGCTGCTTCCACCTTCTGTTTGTTGTGAATAGTGCTGCTAAGAATACAGATGTACCAATACCTCTTCAAGACCTTGCTTTCAGTTCTCCCGGGTGTAACCAAGGATTAGATTTTAATGCAGTCTCCGACTTTTTTTTTTTTTTTAAGATTATTTATTTATTTATTTGACAGATAGAGATCACAAGCAGGCAGAGAGGCAGGCATAGAGAGACAGAGGAGGAAGCAGGCTCCCCGCTGAGCAGAGAGTTTGATGTGGGGCTGGATCCCAGGACTCTGGGATCATGACTAGAGCCAAAGGCAGAGGCTTTAATCCACTGAGCCACCCAGGCGCCCCTGCATTCTCCGATTTAAAAGCAGGGAGTAGCCCAGTAGTACTGCTGAGAGCTGAGCATCATCAGTCAGGGTTTGAATACCTGCAGGGAAAGGTGTTCACCAGTTCATGGGGCTGTGCAGCACAGTGGTTAGAGAACGCACGCCTCGGAGTCAGGCGAACTGGGTACAAATTCTTGCTCCACGTCTCACTGCTTATGGTCATGGGAAAATGAACAATCTCTTTAGGTCTCAGTTTCTACATCTACAAAGTGGAGATAATTAGATCTACCCTATTGGGTGCCTGAAAAGATTAGTTGGGTAATGCACTTTAGGTATTCGGTACACAGAATTGTGCTCAATGAATAGAAGCTATATATCATTAAAGAATACTTTGTAGAAAGTAAGGTCTTGTGATATTAAAAAGTCTATGCAGTGGTTCAAATTCTATCTGCTAGAAAAAATAGAGACCATGTCTAATCTGTCTCCCAGAGGTTGATATTTAGGCATTTGAACAGATTTCCACTGGGAACTGGCCTTTTGGAGAAAGGGACACCATTTTACTTTGCATTTGTTTATGGATTTATGTGCAGGTTACTTCTTCTGCATTTGTAAAGCTCAAGTATCTGCTTGGGTGACTCTTCAATTTTTATTTCTCTAAAGGTAGAAAGCAAATGTTGTCCTCCCAATTAATACAAATTTCATGCTTTAGTAACAAAAGGATCAATATAGAATAAATGCAAGCTTGCTTAGAAAATTACTAATCTGCAGGCCATGCTTAAATTAAGTCTTAGACAATTCCTGTGGGGGAGAAAAACCTCTTCTGAACTAAGGTCTTCTCAAAAAGGAGATTATTTTTTAAGTATATGACCATTTTTATCTATATCTATATATGTCTAACACTCTAAATGGTTCCAGAAAGTAGTTTCTTTTTTTTTGTAAAAAAAAAAAAAAAAAAAAGAGTTAATATATACACCTTAAAACTAAGATATTTTGAGCACATAATTTTTATCTCAGGATATATATGGTGTTTTTTTTTTTAAATGACAATTCCATTAGCACAGTTTCTCCCAAGACAATTGTGGATGGCTTTGTTCAAGACAAACGTGGCAGGTGTCACTGTGATAAGAAACATTTAAGCTGTTGTCCCTATGATGCCAAATATTTAACAGAAACCAAAAAAATTCAGTTCCAGATGACAAAATTGGGTCTGAATGACATCATTCATCCAGATGCGTGGAAAATCTGGATTTTCAAGAATTGAATTTTTGTGGTCAACAACATGAAGACTCAGTTTCTGGGTTAAATAAGGCATTTGTGAAACAAAGCCATTTTGGAATAGAACACGTTTTCATTATAGAGAAACAAATTGAAAGGAACACGGGGTACCATTTTAGTGCTGTGAATCACAGATTACATAAAAAAATACGATGTAAAAGACAAACAGGACATTTCCAAGCTGCATTTTTGAGGTTCTTCACGAAGTAACCCGACCACACTGGGGCTTTGAGAAAAGCAATCATTCAACATAGAGACACTGTCCCCAGTTCTCCCTTCCCACTGAACTTGAACACATGCGCCGAAAGTACAAAATGAAATGACCGTGCCTTTGAGGTAATTATTCAACTTCAAACTCACCAGTTAAGCATTTGGAGGTATGGGAACATAAGGGATATGCTGGAACAATTTTACAGGAGGTCCTGAATAGATGTTCATCCCAGAAACCACGGACACGCCAGTTTCAGGAGAAACAGCAGAAGTGGGAAACTCAAGAGTTAACCTTCTGCCCTCACTTCTTTATCCCCTTCTCCTCCCAGCTGCCTCCTCCCAGGCTGTACTTTCCGTGACCCTGCTTCCCTGTAAGGAAGGTTTCAGAAGCAGCGCAGTTTCACCTGCGCTGTCGACACAGCAATAAACTAAAATCCTTTACTGAGAGAGAGCCAATGGACCCAGGAAGGCAAATCTATCCCGTTGATAAGCATCTGGTCCTACTCTTATAAACAAAGACAAGTAGTTACCAATTCGGCATCTGGAGAATACACACCCAGGCATATGCACAAAATATCTCAGAGAATTTATTTTCAAACCACATGCTAAGAACCTCACAAAGAAAATACCCTCTTTATGTTGATTATGATGGTATATGGTTACTGTCTAATTAGGAAATCAGTGAGTCGTTCCTCTCAAAACTTGAATCGAATTCCATTTTGCAAACTTCTAAACATCACCACACCCAGTACCTTTGAACTCCAAAAGTCTCTCACTGTGTCTAACAGCAGCCATTTCAAAACCTTGAAAAGAGATTTCTTCTCTTTGACCGATACTAGCACAAAACACAACTGTCTACCGAGAAACAAGTTCTAGTGGAGCAGGAGAATCACCTTTTCTCAATCGTCTACCTCAACGTATGACATTATATTCATATACATCCCCTCCCGCCCACTGCGCCTTGCTCCCTCGTGGCCAGCGTACAAAGTGACAAATACCACCTACTTCTGTGCCAACACCAGCAACTTAATAGGACTCACGAACCCTTTCTTTCCCTTTCTTTCAGGTTCCTGGGGACCCAATAACAAAAACAGAAGAGGGGCTGGTTCCTCATTCCCAGGATGCACTCTGATTTCATGGGCAGCCCGAGCTGACTTTTCCAGGCAGGGGTGGACTTCTGTCTGGTTGCAAGTGGAGAGACATGAGTTCCCAGATGAGGAAACACACTATCTAGCCCTGGGAAACCTTTCTTGCCATAGCAAAAGCAGTTCTGGCACAGAAGCCTTCCTCCTCTACCCCCTCAATAGGAGACACAAAAATCGCAGACAGCGTTTTTCCATGATTTCTGAGGACACAGGGAAATGTGGCTGAAGGGCCGGGAAGGTTGGGGTTGGGAGGAAAAGGGACCGAACAGGGGCTGGGAAATGCAGCCTGTTGTGCCGAAAGACAAGTTACAATGCACCTGGCGAATAAAACAAGCTGCACCACATACAGAAAAGATGAGAGCGGCCCACCTGTGTCTGTTGAGGGATATTTACAAAGCTTGGATCCCGTGGTCCAACACTGACGAATCGGTTTGCGGGGGAGGTGCTGGGTGTCGAGTAGGCTGTGAAGGGAAGGGACACATGCGTTCAGGAAGCAGCACGAGATTGCACACACAAACAACACCAAAACACACAGTCTCCGAGCCTACACAGCTGATTAACAAGGAAATGTGCAAACACTGGAGCTAGCAAAGGGATCCGGCTAGCGAGGGCATTTTAGACAGTCAAAAAAGGGAAGGGGTGTTGGGTTCTAAAGACTGTTGGAATAAAATGATGTCAAATTGGGTCTCAGATGAGTTCTTTTCTCCTTCCAGCATACAAATCAGAACATGCAGGACATTTGCAAAGTATACTTTTGGAGTAAAACATGAGCTCTGGGGCCAGAAAGAGATATCCTAGTCCTTAGAGCACAAGGGAGAAAGAAATGAGGTAGGAAGGGGAGAAGAGCAGTTCATTTTATAACCTTGCTTTTCACACTATGGCACTTCCAAAAATCCTGAGATATTCCTGCACCTCTATAGCTAAATATCAAAGAGGAGTCTTTAGAGAAGGAATTAATGGCTTCTCCAGAAAGGAGGTGGAAAACCATTGAGAACCAGCTGTCTTTATAGGCTTCGGGAAAGTATCTAGAATCTCTATGAAGCACCAGATGTGCTTAAAATATTAACACCTGTAGTCTTCCCATCCTAGAACATTCCTGTTAAGGCACAAACTATCAAGAACCCATGAAAACCAAGATACCACACTAAAGTCACAGTTCAGTTTACCAGCCTTTCACAGTTCATGAAAGTTTGGTCGTTGGTTTTTACAGTTTCGGTTTTTATATTTAAATTTGAGAGTTTCACTCCAGTGAGAAAAAACCTCGGTGGCTTTGCTGTTTCATTGGCTTATACATCCAAATGTGTATTTGGTCTTTTGGTGACCTGCAATTCACCTCTTTACCACAAATTCCCAATATTTATTCATATTCCTTCTTTGTACCAGAACTTTCAGATAGACTCTTGCTTAATTTCAAATTAAACAACACTTGCAAAAGGCCCAATTTTTTTGGATTAACCTTAGACACAAGCCATCTAAAAGATGAAAAGGATTTGCAGTTTTTAAAAACACAGATAACTAAGGGAATAATACCAAATTCCTTTGCCAGATTTCTTTGTTTTCCTTTTTGGCATCATCTGCTTGTCTTCGATTTTCTGTCTTACAGAAAACTGCTCAGACTTCTTGTTTCCTTTGTTGAGCACATCTAGAGATAAAATGTCTACCAATCTAGGCCAAGTCCTGTTGGTCAACTTTGGTAAGAGCTAAGTCATCCACACAGATCTGTGATGGTCATGTGGTGTGGCTGTGTTAAACCAGCATGAAACAGAGGATGAACGTGAGGATTCTCTGACATCTATTAATAAGAAAGTTTTGTCGTAGTGTTTGTTTTAGAAGGATCTGTCTGGGAATAGTTTTATATAAAACAATGTATATATAAATGTCTATATAAAAATGCATGACGTAAGGTATGGTCTAGCTACGTGAATCTATTGATTTCCTCCCCACCCCATTCTATGTTAGACTAAGTTGAACAGATTTGAGAAATACCTCTGCACAAACACATTCTGTACATGCCTCTCACTCACTGGTATGGGAGAAACATAAATTTTTAAAAATTCAGTAAAATACTCTTTGTTAATTGCTCTAGTCAGCCTATTGCTTTAGTTTAATATGGTTTAAGAAGTCTCCATAGAAAGTTAGGTATTGAAAATGATGGACTATAATTACCCAGTAGTGAATTTACCCGCTCCCAGGGCACAAAGAGGATGTGGGAGAGATAAGGAGGAAGCTAGTAGATGAAATAACCTGTCAAACCTCTCAGTGGTTAGGTGGGAAGAGTGTTCTTTCACATGGGAATAGGTAGGTATGTCGGAAGGAACAGAAAAAGGCATGAAGAGTATGCTAAGGTACTAAGTGACGAATGACAGATGCTGAAATGTGGGTCCTGGTGGAACTGTGCGCTTCGGGCTACACTAGTCATCACAGACACATAGCAGGATTTCCTATGATGTTTTTAACCATACTGGGGATATCAGAAACATGCATGCTGAGTGAGCCTAGGGATCATGGCATTTTTTTTTGTTTGTTTGTTTGTTTTCCTTCTGTGTGAAGACAGTTCTCCATCGACCATAGCAAGTTTACTAAGCCTGAGAAGATCTGTAATATGTTCTGCTCTCTATTGTTTAGCAGACCGAAATTTTGCCATTTGAAAGGTGTAGCGTACAAATCATGTAGTCACCCAAAACTGCTATGAGGCTAACATCTGGATATTTTGCCTTTCTTGGGCACGAGACAAACTTTGCCTTCTTGATTTCAAAATGTCCCAGGAGGCCTTTCATGCTTTCATAGGCTCCTGAAAGTGCTTCAAAGTTTAGTCTGGTTTTTAAAACAAGGGAAACAGTATGTTAGCATTTAAAAAAGAGAGCAAGAGAAAGATAAAAGAAAAAAGGATATTAAAACTATAAAAACCTGGGAGTCTCTTGAATACCCAAGTCATCAAATGGAAGAAATGGTACCTGGGGAAATTTATTCGATAGAAATGTAGCTTCTGGGAAAATTCAAGGACACAGGGAAAACAAGGGAAGGAAGAAAGAAAGTATGACTCATCTTCCATTATGGTAGTTACAATAGGCACAGTATTCACCTATAACAGGATGTAGTTCCAGAAATGATGTGACATTAGTTAAATTTGATTTTCCCAAAGAAAAAGTGGAATAAGGGAGTTATACTGTTGAACAAAAACCTCAACTGCAACTTTTTATTAAAACAACCACATATACCATAGCGAATCAATTATACATGCACAGTTAAGAGCTTTCAACATGAATATAAAATCAAGTAAAGGGGGCAATGTGGTAATTAATTATATACAACTGTATTTACTATGCTATTATATCACATTCATATCTTTCTTAATTATAATTTTGGCGTTATTTACAGCAGCAATAATCAAATGCCGCAGGAAAAGCTTCAGGAAATCATGAAATCCAGAAAATAATTCTCTGGGAAGATTATTATAGGCATTTTTTTGAGGATTCTGGAGGGGGAGATTTAGGGGCATATGATGATTTTTCTGATAAAGGCAACAAGAAAATCATTTTGCTTATATAATCTCACTGTAAAAGTCCTCATGGCAAACACGACTATTAGAAATCAAATTATTGATTATTTGACTGCCTTTGAAGTGGAAACTTTTTCTTTCTTTTCTTTTCTTTTTTTTACCAGGCATCTTACCTACATGAGCAATACCACTCTTGACTATTTTCCTAATGTTATGGATGAACTATTAGAACTATTAGAAGCTTCCACCATTTTATTTGTACTAATCTGATATTTTTTCCTCTTTCTACTTGTATGTCTTTCCATTATCCCATAGAAAATCCCAGATCAGAATTTGATCCCATATCCAGAAAATCCCATTCTTCTGTCTTATCCACTTACCATATGCATGGCTAATCATAAAATCCTTTACTTAGACTGTGCAAGTCCTGCCCCAGTATGATCAGTTGGGAGATGGCTCAAGAACAGTTCTTGCTTTATAAGCAAGACTTTTAAAGGGACTCTGACGATGCTAGAATCTATCCCTAGCAGGGACTCTCGGAGGAGCATGAGGGAGTCGTCAGGGACAGTGGCAGAGATCACCCATTAAGTCTGCTCTTTACCACTATGCAGGTAGGTGTCCCCTGGGAGAACCTAGATTTTTTTTGTTGTTGTTGTTGTTTCCAGAAATACATGTAACTAACCTCCTACAAGCCAAATAGAATTTCCACTTTTGTTGTCCCCAAGGTGTCACGTTTTGTTTTGTTTCTTTTTCTTGAAAGGAAGGAATAAGGGATGTGTCTGGATAAAGGAATCATGATATTTTCCTATAAATCCATTTTGAGTCTGTAATAGCCCTCACCTATAAAATCAAATCTGACCATGGTATCAACAAGGTGGTCACACTGTTTTGAGCAGAATGCTTGGAGCGTTCCTTGTTTTAGGAAAAAGATGTAACTGAAAAAAAAGATATGAAGATATTAAAATACGTGTACCATTGTCAGGTGATGTTTCTTTAAGCTGAAAACCGTATCATTAAAATCACCCACATCTGACTAACTAGAAAATTAAAAGTAGGCAGACAGATTCAAGATCTAGTTCAAGTGTAGTAACCACTAAAATATATGTAATCACCAAAGGGGAAGAAAGGGAGAACATTCAGACAGATGTTTTTGTGGGGAGTGAGTATGGAGGGAGAGCTGCCTTTTGGATGACGCTCCTCTGGGACTCGCAGTGCCCTCAGGGAGGCTGAGGGGCTGGTTCCCAAGTGCAGCTCAACTGCCTGAGGAGAGCGATGACCACCCTCTACCGTGGCTAGGGGTCAGTGACACAGTGAGGCACCTTGGCAGAAAAGAAAATGTGAGAGACCTGATGACCTTTGAGGTTCTGCATTTAATTCCACACACAGGAAGCCATGAAGTCCCCTGAACCCGGGCAGCATGACCTACACGCTGACAGGAAGTTTGAAGGGAGATCTGTGCTCTGTTTCCTCAGACTCCAGATGCATGAAGAGTGAACACCCCTTTCTTCATTCCCTTGCACTCTATCGACTCTAGAGTGCATCAAAGAGAGGTATTTCCATGTATTTAATAGATTCATATTCATTCTCTCACTCCTTCTGTCTCTGTCTCTCAGGAACGCTTGCTCCGTGCCAGGCTCTGGGTTGAGCACGACGAGAGATTCAAAGGTGAGGCAAGACACAATGCCATCCTAGAAATGCTAGCATCTAATGATGGGAGATGGGTGTAGAAAAATGAAAATATGGGTGCTTAAAGGTGACATAAATAAGAATCCATGAGTTGTTAACGGACAGAAAAGGGACATCTGGCAGGAGAGCAGGAAAAGCTGCACAGAGGAAATGAGAACAGGGTGGCTTTTGCGACAGTGCTGTAAAAGATGCGCGGGCCGGCAGGTTCGGAGGGAACCGGGGTCACAAAGGAAGCAGCAGGAGCAAAGGCGCGGAGGCCAGAAGCGGAGGCATCAA